GGTATCTTCATGCTTTCAGTTCACAATCTTAACTAGGCTTTTATGTATCTCCAAAACATGCTTTTTTATCTCTGACAGTCAAGCAATAAAAATATTCTGAGGGAAAGCCTTTGCTTTGGAATCTACCTGAACTGCAGCTCCTTTAAGCACTGCACTTCATCTTTTCCATTACATTCCTTCATTTCCTAAGAAACCTTAAGCACAGAGACACACAGCAACTCATTTTCTTCATATACCAGCCACAAAGAGAAATAACAACTTCTCTTCCTCCCTCTGGTGGCAAACCCAGGGCTTGTTCTGCTACTTATGGATCACTGGGGCAACAATCCCCTTATCCCTCATCTCTCCAATTCCTTTACCTCACACCAGGAGGTAAAGAATATTGTATTATATTGTATTATCAACAATATAAAAATAAGTGAAGCTGGATGTGTCAAAAGCTTTGGATAGTTCCTGGTAAATAGTTGGGAGCTTTTATAAACATGATCCTCTTGAGCCAGCTGGTATGTGATTCATTTATATGGCCCAAAGAAAGCATTTTAAAAGTAGAAACAGCCTTATATAAATGTACAAAACTATTTGATACACGTTCAGCAGTGAGTGCTTCAGAAAGCCTGGCATTAAAAGGGAAGGACATTTATATACTACAAAAAAAAACAAACTTGCATTTTACCCTTTGCTCATAAAAGTCGTCATTTCTTATTTTAATTATTTCAAATTCCTCTTAAATATATAGACAGAGAACTCTACCACCCAACACCTTACCTTCTCCCCAAGCTTCCTGAGGGCAGTCAGGATTTCCACTTTCTGTTGGGTGTACAGGTCTCGTGCCAACTTCCCAACCATTAAGTCTCGGTCCATCTGCACATCAGGGGGGGAAATAAGTCAAAATATATAATCTTCCCATTATTTCACTCAACACAACAGCATGAGAAATGCAACAGCCTAAAAATATCCTCAGTAAGCACAGACCCACAGCAGGAAGGGACAGAGCTATCTATGATTTAAAAGATGGTTGGTTTTTCTGAATGTTCTGCAAATACTCTTTACACCTGACCTTGGCTTACTTGATTTCTCCAAACCTGAATCTTTTTTCATCAAAGACTGATAATCACTCAAAATTATGGATTCACACATCACTGGTACGTGGAGCAATCATGTTTCATGTCACTTTATCTCTATGCTCAGTTCAATCAGATCTCTGAGTGCACTCTCCAGCCCTCAGTACAACCCCAAATTTTCTATTTGCAGTTTACTCACTTCACTCTCAATGTCAATCCCATGGTTGTTTGGAAGCAAGGAAGATAATTCAAGAAATACACATTGTTGTCCCCATTACTTCAATAAACATTTAAAACTGAACACATTCTGAAAGAGACCTTCTCCACCTCTTTATGATGCTGACACCAAATTTTCCAGCACACTCAGTGCTCTCCTTGCAATCATTCCACACCTGAACCAGTCTGGCTCAAATAAACAGATTTTGCAGTAAAACAAAAAGCCTTCACCTCTGCCAACCTCGTCCTCAATTGCCTGGGCTGCTTCTTTGCAAACATTCTAATCACTTCTGGGGTTTTAAATGCTTGGCTGATGGCTGCTTGTATTGCCTGCAAGGAAAAGAGCGAGAATGAGCAGGACTAACTCACAACCAGCAGCTGAAGACAAGACAAAGGAGGACTGGAGAGCATCATTAGCACCCTCTGCATCCTTTGATACAGAGCTCTTCTTTTTTCTGTATAACCATGGAAGTAAGATGAAAAAAAAATACAGGACCTTTATGCAGGGCTTGAAGAATCCACTCATTAGTGCAACTACACTATGGAAGAGCTGTGAAATTTTTCATTACAGTCCAGGTCTTACTTTCTAATAATTTCCTGATATTAGCACAGTTTTCATGCCCACACTGATGGTTACAGCTCTTCTATGGATAAGCATAATGTAAATGATGAATCCACAAAATCCTTTGAGGATTACCAAAATTATCATTATTAGATCTCCCCACAATTATCTTTGGACAAGTCACGATCTCTCTGGAAACAAAATCCTAAAACACAGGGCTTAGAAGGAACAAATTATGCTCTAATTAAACACTGAAAAGGGAGAAAATAGATCAGAAGTTTGGAAGTCAGCATAAGATCAATAACATCATATAAATATTAAATATATAAATATATAATAATAACAACTTAAAGTCACACAGTCATTCCTACAGCCTTTCCATTTGGGCTGGTATGAATCTGAAACACAAGTCAACAAGAAGAGCACAGGAAGTGCTATCTGATGCTTTCTAACAAACAGGCATGAATTGTATTTCTCATGATATATATTACCCTGGACTGTCCATTAGACCTTTTATATTAAAATTCTATTATTTTATGTTCTTTTTAAAATATATTTAGTCCCTGCAATTACCCAATATTGTGGTTATAATTCTTCAATATTTTTCCCCTTTTAAAATGAAGAGACCTATGCAAGTTCTTACATTTACGCATGTATTAAATAATAAAAACATCAGTTACATAGATCTAGGTTTCACACAAAAATTACAATGAGCCACTCGGATCTATTTTCTATTTCATCAACTCCAGGAAAAATATGAACTATTTTTAGCAGCCCATCATCCTCACCAGTTGCATCCCACTGAGCTCGTCCACCAAAGTCATATCTCCAGACATGATCTTCTTCAGGGAGTCGTTGAACTCACTCAGCTGCTCCAGAGTTTCCTTTTTGGTCTCCTCATACTCATCTGCATCCAGCTCCTCTCTAAAGAGGATCCAAGAAGACACATTAATTCACAAGGTTTAACCTGAGACATCATATGGAGAAAAGGGCACTGGGGAGCATCACAGAGCTCAGCTCCTCAGGCAGCAATGAATTCAGTCTGACTCAAAGTTTATTAGCCCACAAAAAACTAATACAAAATCACATTAGTTTGTCTAACTTTTCGTGTTATTTGTGTTAAAAAAAACACCAAACATCCGTAATTATAAGACAAACCAAAACAGACACAAAAGCTATTTGCTAACTGATATTAAAAAAGCCCACAAGGAAGTTGTGAGTTATGTGAACAGGTATTAGAAGCTAAAAAGTCACACTGAGATATAAAGAAACCATTGAGTATTTCTGCCTGCATTTTCTTCAGATGATAAATAAAATTGTCTTTTTTTTTAAATATAATTTTTACTACCTAACACAAACATCCTACCCAATTAAAAAAATATAAAGCCACAAGAAAACACAAAAAAACCCCCAGAAAACCCACAAGATTTTTGAAAAGTACCCCTTTCTTCTGCCAACCACTTAAGAAAATGATTACCATATATGAGAAAAGCAGCTATTTTTATTACCTGCATTCTTCCAGATCTTGAAGCTGCTGCATTAATCTGTCCAACTGCTCCTCCAAGTTTTGTTTTAGTTTGCTGGTCTCTGTTGTTCCTCTTGAAGCCATTTTCTGTTTTCACATGAAAGTTTTCACTTGTTACGTGACACTCCTAGGAGAAAGCACATTTTATTGCTTGTATCAACAACTATCCACCTATTTAAAATGCTCCAAATAGCAAGAAAACGATGCGGCATCTTGCTGATGGAATGCCTAACCACAACACCCAGAGATCCTTGTAGTGGAAACACAGAAATGCCAGGCTGTGTGTACGGGAGGCGGTTCACCAGGGTAATAACCACAGCACATACAACTAAACGAGGGTCAAACCAAGTAGCAATTATTGAAATGCAGAGGCCCCGCTATGTAAAACAGCAGATTCGCCTCTCCCACCGCCCCCCGGAGCACTGTTCAGGAGACACGGCGGCCGCAGGTGTCCCAGGGTCGGGACCGCCTCCGGCAGCACCGTGAGGGACGCGGGGCACTCCCGAGGAACGCCGGGGGTCAGGCGGGGACGGGCACAGAGCCCGCGGACAGCGGGGCATCCCCGGCGGTGAGGGGCTGCAGCACCGCCCGCGGCCGACGAGGGAACGCGACCCTCCCGCCGGCAAGCGGCGAACGGGCCTGAGGGGAGGAGACCCGGGCAGGAGGAGCGGGACGGCGGAACTCGGCACTGCGCGAGTGCCGCCCGGCCCCGAGGCTCCGGCCCGGCTCTTCCTCGCCCGCCCGGCCCCGCTTCCCCGCTTCCCCGCTTCCCCTCTCCCCTCACCCGGCCAGGCCTCGGCGGGGCGGGCCCGGACCGTCCCCCCGGCGCCGCTTCCGCCGCGCCCGGGCCAATGAGCGCGGGCGGCGCCGGGCCCGGCGAGCGGGCGGACGGCGGGGACGGGGAGCGGGGCCCGCGCGGTGAGTGCGGCATCGGGGCGGGGGCCGGGCGGGGAGTGCGGGCTTCTCGAGGGGAGTGCGGGCTCCTCCAGGGGAATGCGGGCTCCTCGAGGGGAGTGCGGGCTCCTCGAGGGGAATGCGGGCTCCTCGAGGGGAGTGCGGGCTCCTCCAGGGGAGTGCGGGCTCCTCCAGGGGAGTGCGGGCTCCGGGGCCCGCCGGCGCTGGGGGGGACTCGCTGGGACTCGCTGTGCGGGGTCCGAGCCTCCGCACCCCCGTGCGGACCCCCGCGGGCCGGTGTTGCTGAAGCGTCCAGCGATGCCCACGTGTCGTGAATGTTTAGCGGTGGTTCTGTTCTCTATATAATATTATATTATAGAATATAATAAATTCTATGCAGAATATACAATACATATGTGTAAACAGGTTCGATAAATATTTGGCTCTGAATTATAAATGAGATTGAGCAAAGCATCCTTACCTGTTTTGTCCCCAGGCACGTTGGGCTCCAGAACGATCCCAAGACCTGCTGTAGGTGTATTTTGATGTTTTTTAGTGCAAATAGGTGTCCAATCCGGCTAATAGGGCTGCAATCAGCACACACTAAATGCTGGTAGGATTATGTGTAAGCATGATGAGATTATATATAAGCATCTGTGTAAGGATCACAGGGCACCTCATTTTTCCATCAGAAGAAGAGAAAATAATCCAGGATGTCCTACACTTATGGAATACCCAAGTGAAGGCCATTTTACTTTATTTTCCCATCTTAAGTCTTTGTGGGGAGATTTTACTAATATTTCATTTGCTATTTGGCATAAGACAGCATTAATTATTTTAAGACTGGTCTCAGTTTTATGGAGCTAAACACCTGTGTGCAGACCTCTCTCATCTCTGTACAGGTGAGATGCTGGTTTGGATCCTGTGGTTAAACTGCAGTAATGGGATTTGTGTCAAGCAGTGCCAAACTATCTGCAGTTCATCAAATCTACTGTTATTATACAACAAGAACAGACCTAGTTCCATGTGCAGCTCAGGCAGTGGCCAGGCTTTAGTCATGCCTGGTCCTAGTCTCCTCTCCCAGGATGTCCAAATTGCATGGCTTTTCCCAAAAAGTTAGGGCTGTGTGAAGGGGGTTCCATACAGAGCAGATCCCAGCTGTGAGGGTGCTGTGGGGATTCCAGGATGATGTAACAGTGAAGGTAATCGTGTCAGGATACCTCTGATCTCCTCCCCTCCCCACAGCACCCATGCAGCTGTTTTCTGTGCAAACAGTGCTAGACAAAGGGTGTCAAATTAGGAGGCTGAGGGGATGTGCAAACTATGAGATTCTATTTATACTTTCATTTCTGTGTAGATATGAAGCTTTGCAAGGTGAGTTTGGGAGGCAATAATTGCCTCCTTCTGAAAACTGTAGAATTAGCAGCATGGAAAGGGACATTTGACTGACTCCTGAAAAGGCACTGTGTGTTTTCATCTGAAAATTTTCTGGTTTTACACTTTTTGTTTTATAAGGAAAAAAAGAAATCAACCTTTTTCCAGTTCTGCAGCACGAGTCAGTCTGTAGAAAGTCGGGTTTGCACATCACAAAGACGGTGAAACTCCTTTCCTCCCGTTCCCATGGTAACTCTCCCAGCCATGTCCCTGTGAAGGCTGTTCCAAGCACCACCAGCCCTTCCTCTGCTGAGCCACTCTGCAGTAACAAAGAATATTTTAAAACTTTGTGAAACTCTTGAAAGCACAGAAAAGTATTAACACTTGCAAGAGGTGAAGCCTTGCAAGAGCTGCTTTTATCCGAGGGCTCTTTGATGTTGGGACACAGTGGCTGTTGCAGGGTTTGGCTGTGATGGTGTCTCAGAGCTGTGAACATCACTCAGCCTCTTTGGAACAGAGACTGGATGTGAGGGTGACCTTGTGGGATTTTTCCAGGCAGGGATGTTGCTGTAGGAACAATGGCAGACAATTCCAGACAATCCTCACGGGTGTCTCAGACAATTCCTGAACAGCAGCAGCAGGAGGATGGCCTGTGCCATATCCCAGTTTTTGTTTGTTAGGGCCAGGCTGGGGAAAACCATCTTGGCAAGCCAGAATATCCTCAGGGGAGAACACAGAAACAAAAATCTATGTAGTTTCAGAAGAAATGCAATGATAACTAGTGAATTTTCTTGATTTTCAGCAATTCTTAAGCAGCTTTCTGAAACTGAAGCTCAGAATTGGAACAGTGCTGTTGTATTTCAGAAAAGGGGAAAAAAATCCAGTATTTAATTGCAGCTTTTACTAAACTTGTTTTAATTCACTCTTCTTCTATCACCTGTTCCACTGCTACACCTACCACTGACTTTCTGCAACACAAAGCAGACTGATTCTTTTCAGGTTCAGTCCATAGCACTCTCTTCCCACATACCATTCTGAATGATATAAATTACCACCCTTTACATTTTATATTGCAGAAAATGTAAATGAATCTTGAGTGAAGAAATGTTAACACTATTCTCCTCCAGAATATTTAATATATTGATTTTATAGGTCTTGCTGGAAAGGCTCACTGCAGTTTAGAGAAGCTACCCTAGGTCTGTTCCTCCCTGTAAGCACTGGAAGGAAGTTACTTAACAAGGAAGTTCTCTGCCCATGTGTCTCCTGGCAGTTGATTGGCACTGGCATCATGAAAAAGGTGCAAAGTTTTAATAAACTTTGTCCTGCAATGAGGACAGATCATCTCTCCATGTGAAATTTAAAAGCATGAGCTGCTTTTCTTCAGAGTAGGCAGTACACTGTCCTCTCTAGGCAAGCAGCCTGTTTGCAGTGATTTCATATTTTAATCTCTTAAAAATGCAGTGTCACATGAACAATCACGGGCTGAGTGTTGGTGGAAGGGTTCCATTTGATCGTGACATTTTATTTTCTGCTTATTGGCAGCACAAATAAGTAACAGACTCTTTTTTAATCCCATTTCTTGTAGTGTTTGGTACCTGGCACCAGCATTCTCCCCTTGGCTCTGGCTGTGAGGAATGGCTATGGAAGATCCTGAGAGGAAGACTGAAGTGGTGCTGCTGGCCTGTGGGTCCTTCAACCCCATCACCAACATGCACCTGAGGCTGTTTGAGCTGGCTAAAGACTATTTCCATGAAACAGGTAGGATGGTCCTTTGTGTCATTCAGAATATCTTGATAACTAGACACTTAAGTGTTAAGGTGAATATTTTGTGTCTGTGAGTGCCTGTTTGACAGGGACAGATATTTCTGGAAATCCTAATTAGATGTTGAGCCTGCTATGTGTGGATGTATCATACAAAATCATGTAGCCCAACATGAGAGAACTGTCTTATAGACATGTTGCTTATTACTGATTTTAATGAGCCAAAGCACAGGTTTACAGTTAGTTTATAGAAATCTATGTATTCTATCTTCTCAACTCTTTCATTGTGCTGCCCTGACAGTGAAGAAGAGAACTGTACTTTTCCACTGGGCTGGCTGTCAGAGCTGCCATTGCCCTGAGTAATGTTTATGTCATAGTTTAAATACAATGCAGGGGAAGTAACATCTGCTCAACCACTTCTCCTGTTCTTGTGTGGTGTGTTTTTTTTCCACAGGAAAATACAAAGTAATCAAGGGCATCATTTCACCAGTGGGTGATGCATATAAGAAGAAAGGTCTGATCAGTGCAAATCACCGAGTGACAATGGCAAAACTGGCTACAAAAAACTCGGATTGGGTGGAAGTTGATGATTGGGAAAGCAGCCAGAGTGAGTGGTTGGAAACACTAAAAGTTTTAAGGTATTCTTCAGCCAAGCTCTAAAAAGTCTCACAAACCTATAGAAGGATAAGCAGTGGTGTTAGCCTATCGAGTTAGATAATGGCAGGGTAGTCCCAAATCATATAAACAGAGTCAGTGAATTCAGAGGGATTATTGATACGAGCACTGAAAATGAAAGATTGCACCATTAGTCCTAAATATGCCAAAAATGAGCCTGGGAACATGAAGATATGTAATTTCTGAGGCCTTATTCAGTTTTTGTGCTGAAAAGGTGGCCCTGGGGAAGGACAGAGTCTAGAACAGGGCAGACACAACCTGTGCTGCACATTTGTGTATTTAAAGACTTGGCATGAGAATTGTCTGAAGGAGAATTTTCTGAGTTTTATGGTTTTACTCTTTCAGTCATTGCTACTTCACTGAGATTCTTATTATTGAGACAAATTTTTATTAAAAAAGGAAACAAACTGACCTGATTGTTGCTTTGAAATCTTTGCCCTTTGAGCACCATCTGACCGAGTTCTCGAGTCCCTGTTTCAGCAGATCAGCTCCTGGGTGGACTGGCTGTGAAAGTGCTGCAGGAGGAAGTGTGAGAGATGATTTTAGACCACAATATCCCTATTTTCTCCTACATCTTTAAAATACCTAAAATACACCTGTGTTTTGCAGGTACCATCATCAAAAGCTTTTACCTCCTGATGCCACTAACAGTCTGGAGGATGCTGTGCCCTTAACAAAGCTGGGACGAAAGAGGAAACAGGAACCAAATAGGCACGAACCCGTTAAAAAGAAAAATCGGAGTCCAGATATAAAAAGTTAAGTCTGTTTGCAAACTAAATGGTTAATGATACTTGTTATTTCAAGAGAATTGCACTTTTTTGTGGTAGCTCTTGGTTCTGATGCCACTGAGTAAGTTTATTCCCTTAGATCCCGCAGCAGAAGGCAGTAGATCCTTTTAGTGAAGGGAATTCCATAACCTTTATTCAGAAAAATCCTGTACTGAGGCTACTAATTATAAATTAGATACTCTGAATCTTTTTTTTATTTTGTCCCATTGTCTCATCTTGACCAAAGATACAGAGAGAGAGCCTAGAAATCAAATGTCTCTTTCAAGTTAGCTAAAATCTGGTGACCTAAACCAAGCCCTGTTTCTCACTTTTTTTTCCTGTTTAAGGTGTCCCCCAGGTTAAGCTGCTCTGTGGAAGCGACATGCTGGAATCTTTTGGGATCCCCAATCTGTGGAAGCTGGAGGACATCACTGAAATTGTGGAAAAGCACGGCCTGGTGTGCATCAGCAGGGCCGGGAACGACGCTCAGAAATTCATCTACGAATCTGATATTTTGTGGAGGCACAAGAACAACATTCACCTGGTGGAGGAGTGGATCACAAACGACATCTCCTCCACCAAGATCCGGAGGGCCCTGCGGAGGGGGCAGAGCATCCGCTACCTGGTGCCTGATGTGGTTCGAGCTTACATTGAGAAGAACAACCTGTACAGCCCAGAGAGTGAGGACAGGAATGCTGGGGTGCTCTTGGCCCCCTTACAGAAAAATGCAAGTGACTCCAAGAACTAACAGGCACTGAACAACTAACTCGCTGTCTGCTGGGAAAAAGGCTACAGTTCAGTGCAGGAGAGTGTTTTCTAGGGGTTGGTTCATTTTTTTCCGGTCCCTAGTGTGCTAATTCCATGGCTTTAGTACATCTGTAGTTGCTGTTGAGGTTTGGTGCACTCAATGATTGGACCTCCACAATCTTTTTCAAGTCCCATAGTAAGATTTTCACATTTAAACATTTAGTCACAGCGCACTGAAGGGAGTAGAAGAATTCACACCAGCATATGAGAATTGCAGATTAATAAGCAAAACAAATGAAAATGTTCTGATTGGTTTTAATTCAAACTGCTCCGACTGCTGTTTATAAAATACTAACACAAATATTTTTGATAACTTACAGCATCTTAACAAAGCTATCTAATTTCTAAGGTACCATTTACTGGTAGTAAATCCGTGGAGCTGTAGTTGCCAACCTGTGGTTCATCTCAAAGAAATTATTTAGCTCTATTCTGGCAGGGACAAATTTCCTCCTGGCTGAAGTGGTGCTGGGTACAACCTGCTTGGAGCTGCTTGATTTTCAAACATGCAGCTGCTTGTTTGCCATCATGCAGTTTGCTCCAGGAAATGTCTTGTGCTTCACTCTTCTATTCATGTTTCCAGGGCTGTAGTTAAGCTCAGTGTTGTTTCTGATGGAAGGACAAACCTACCTCAGAAACTGATTTATAGCCACTGATTTGATAGATAGAAATTAATAATAGTGCCATTGCACTGATTCTCAGACAGTTGTCCCTTTATTACAAATAATAAATTTCTTTCAAATAATAAAATATCTCTTATGTTTGAGCCACGAGGACAATATAATGGTATATAGCCAGAATTGTTTTCTGTTACTGCAGTTGAGAGGAAATGGTAGGAAATTAGTACTGTACATAAGTGAAATTTTCTTCTTTGCTGGAAATCTGGGTTTGAGTCTAACAGTGTATTGCCTGTATTATGTGAATATAAGCTGGAGAGGCACTGTGAATGATGTGGTGATAGAATTCTACCTCCCTTTATTTGCTGCCATCCCATTTTTGTTTGGATTATGTGCCTTATTACAAATGTCAAGGCTTCCAAGCCACTCCCTGATGGGTCAGCAGCTCTTTCATAGCTCTCCACAAGATGACTCTGGTCACCTTTTCCAGATGAACAAATCCAGCCCAGTGTGAGCCTCTCAGGGCAGGAGGCCAAGATGCTCTTGGGCAAGTCTGGAATCAGGGACACGTTCCAGAGTCATAACTGTGACAACCCATCACCCTCCCCCTGGGCAGGGCATCCCCAGGGAGCTGAGGCAGAGGTTTGGGCTTCCCTCAGAGCTCAGGGGAGTCTGGGAGACAGAAGTCAAATACAGAACATTGTGGATGGCCCTAGGCTTGTCTAAAGCCCAGCAGAGGAGCTGGGACACTGCTGGGAAAACCTGTATCCTGCAGTGGAGCTGGCATTGAACGTGCAAACTGGGAGCCCCACATGAAATTCTGCCAGACAGCAGAGCATCTGTGTTCTGCTGGTTCCAGCCTGCAAAGATGGAAGAATCCACAGAGAGATTGGTGTGATAAAATCAAGTCACACCCTAGAAGTGCATCTGCGACAGAAAGTAGCACCAAGGATTCTTAGAGTTGCATTTTTGGTGATTCCTCCTTAAATGTGCTGGCTGCCATTTCTTCCCCCAGAGCTCAGGCAAGTTTTCACTGTCCTTTGGTGACGAGGTTGGGTTCTTTTAACCTCAGTACTAATAAAGGAAGAATAAACGATGCCCCTGTGATCCCTCAGCAATCCAACTGCCTGAGCTGACTGCAGACAACTGTGCTAGTGGTGGGGCCTGGGAAGGGGTGAGATCTCCTTTCCTCTCTTGCTCACTGTCTGTCTTTAGGACTGATGAGAACAGAGGGCAGGAAGGAGTTATTTTGAGCCCTCAAGTCAAGCAGTGTGCTGCTGAATAAACAGAGCAGATCCTTCTAATGGGACAGCACCCTGTTTAGGTGGTCATTTTTCAGAGTAAAACTGCACTTTAAGTCTAGGTTTATTCTTCTTACTAATGATGCTGGTGTGTGTTGGTGCTCTTTGTGCAATTGTAGAGAAGCTGCAAATTCAGTAGGATTTTTTTATAAAGCTTTGGTCTTCAGTTTTATTTTGCTGGAGTTTAATGTGTGGTGAGTCTTTCAATAAAATAAATTGCATGTAATGTGCTAATTTTAGTCATCCTGTTGTTCACCATGTCTGATGTCTGACGACTGCATGATTTTTAAGAGGTAGAACAATGTTAGTACAGTTTGGTCTATACAAACCAGAATATTCCACCAAAGCAGTGATGTGGCAGTTCAAAGATGTCAGACAGGTATAACTTTCAGGAGTGGACTCTTGTCAGATCTCAAAGAGAACTGATCTACAGAAAGAAGCACCATACCCCTGACTATCTGCATAATTTAATTTTAAATTCAAATGTTATATCCAGGCTTTGACACAGGATTTACCCAAGTACTCACTTCTCTTTGCTTGCAAGAGTCAGTTGTATTGCAACAGTGCTTTACTACCACAACCTCATAACACCAAGTTGTGGGTGAAATGTTACTATTTGAGTCCAGGAACACATTCATTTTCATTTCTCTGTGCCATTCCTGGTTTAGTGTAGGTTAGAGAACATCCAGCTGCAAACAGGAAACAAGCTTTGACGTCCTGATTTCCTCCTCACATCATCTGTGAGTCATGTTGGTCACACTGCCAGCTCCAGAAAAGGAGCTAAAGTTCAGGGAAACTTCTGCAAAACGTTATCCTTTTTATTCAGCCTAACACAAGTCAGCAAATAGGGAAATACAGTAAGTGTAGGTGAGTTTCTTCACCTCCAAATCCCTTATTTCCTCACTTCCAAATTCCCTGTATCATTTCTCTTCAAAAGTCATGCATTTTTTATTCTCTTTTCAAAACCTATTGCTGGGTCATCACTTCTGAGGCATCTATCACTTCTTTGCTGAAGGTGAAGTCCAGCACTGAAGCTTTCCTGCTGCATCCTGTGCTCCACTGCCTGTGTGCTCTGCAAACTACCAGTGGAACAACTCCTGCATCAGCTCTCCTGTCTGTGTGAAGAGTAGGAAGCAAAGGGGGGAGCTACATTTATGTACATGAAAGTACTATTTGAATGTGCCTCCTATTCACTCCAGATACAAGGCAACAGGATAGAATTCTTATCTCTATTACTGTCACAGGCACTGCTTTAAAATGGATTGGTATAATACTGTCTCCAGTTTAGCAGTCAATCCCTGCCTGTTCAAATCCCAAATGTCTTCACAGGGAGTAGGTCACCTTTTCAATCAAGAGTCACTGCTCAGCTTCTCAACAAAGACCTGCATTTCAGGTCATAAGGCCACAGATCTAATAAACATGCAGGAAATTTTAGTAATGACAAAATCAGTCCCTTTAAAGCGTACAAGGTGGACACAAGCCAGTTTTGGGCTTGCATTGTGGCTCTTGGGCTATTAACATTTGCTCCACACAAAGATTTCGGACACGGTGAACTTTTCCCTCCAGCACAGCTGAAGCCATTCCACAAACACCCTGTCACCCATTGGCCCAGCAGCAGCACCCTTCCCCTCCATAGGAAAGGCCCTGGGATATAATCCCACCCACAATCTGCTTTATATAAGGCCTGGTTAGAAAATTACTTCTTCATTTTTGCTTTTTTATCCGGATCCTCCTTCTGCTGTCTGGCAATGCCTGTGGATTTCAGTGGAACCTGGAACCTTGTCAGCAATGACAACTTTGAAGGTTATATGGTGGCCTTAGGTAGGTGAAAATGCCTGATTCTGTCCTTCCTCCCTTCCCCCAGTAAGGGTCCTTCTGAATTTTAAGAGTCTAAGTTCTTCTAAAAGTAGACATTGCTTAAATTTTTTTTTTTATTTTCTCTGAAAAACAGTGGAAGGATCTTTGTTTATTGATAACCAGACCATTACTAGAGCCTGTCATTGCAGCTTTTGGGAATTTCTCAGCCTGATCTATAGAGAGATTAACAGTGCTTTAATGGGGAGCTAAGGAAGTTCTCAGGACTTCATTAGCTCTCTTGTACAAAGCTCTTCACAGACTGGGACAGCAGGAACCTCGTGTGCTGCCCTCTCCTCTCCTGCCTCTCCCACCCCTCCCAACCTTTGTGACCTGTGGGAACTGGTGACCAGCACTGCCCCTTGTTGGTTATGGTTCACACAACTAGAAAGAAATCTGTTTTCTGGCTGTATCTATACTGGGAAATCTACTTAAATTGTCTAGTTGGTATCTGTAACAGGGTGAAAGGACCCTTCTCCCTTACTAATCCTGCTGTGTTATCAACTAGAAAGAAAAAAAAAAAAAAGAAAATGTACTCCTGTCATGAGTAATTATTCCTCAGTTAGGATACTAAATAGTGTACTCTAAATGTGTTAATGTGTTCAAATCAAAGAGAGATTCTGTCTGTTCCTTGATGATAAACATTGTCCAGCAAAGTAAAGGGCTTTTTGAAACTAAATATAACTACCAATATTGTGAGAAAATGCAATTAGTTTTCAGCATGTGATCGGGGGAACTTACTTAAAAGTAGAGGGGAAAGATCCTGTTGATGATTTACAACCTGCATTTAATCAATCCTGCTTGGTTTCCAGTATGCTGAGCAAAACAAAGCTGAAATCAGTATTGTAGAGCTAGAATGGAACACTTGTCTGCCAGGGCAAGTAGAGGGGGGAGGTTAATACCTGATCAGCTGAAGAACTAGAGGGTTATGGATAAGGATGTGGTTATGCCAAGCCCAGCCCTTCCCTCCATTTATATCCACCTCTAAAGAACAGATCTGTAAGCAGTTTATATGGTTTTAGCTTTTATAACACATTCTTGTTAAGGGTTAATGGGAATGGCTGTTGCCAGTGCTGAATTCAAGTCCCTCTATGCTGAAATGAAGTGGTAAC